GATGGATGGATGGATGGATGGATGGATGGATGGATGGATGGATGGATGGATGGATGGATGGGTATCTTTAATTACGTCTCTTGATATCAATGGGTCGCAACCTTTTCCCGCCCATTGATTTAAAAAGATAATTTGCACTCCTCCAACCATTCTTTGACATCTGAACAAAGAACAGTCAAATACAGTAATGATTATTGCATTAAAACTATAATTTCCTTAATTCACTAAAACTACCACTTTTAAAATGTAATTATTATTTTTGTTTGTTCAATTCTGTTTTTTTAAAGTATAAAGAGGGCTCCAGAGGAACGTTCTTTCCTTATTTTTTTTTATCCTGATTAAACATTACTTTTATTCTGTTTCAGAAGGTTTCTTTAAGTAAAATAACAAGTTATGATTCCCTTAAGTAAAAATCCAGACAGCAGAGTAAGAGAGAGACTTTGGTAAATATAAAAGTTGTGACTGTTACATCATGTCATCATAAATTTATACAAAAAAAAAATGTTTGGATAAGAGATCAGGAGAATAAAGTACAGATATTTGCTTTCAAATAAAATGAACTGAACTTAAAAAGTTCAAACAGATACTGAACTAATGTACAGATACTGAAATAAGCTACTTAATTATAGTATACTGCATGCAGTATGCTGAATTACTGTGAAAATATTGGTAACTGAGGACATCTAGTGACCAGAAAGGAAACTACAACAAATGAAGAGTAAATATTCTCAAAAAACAAAATACCAGTAAATCAAATTTTATGTTGTAAGGTAATTTCAATTCAGTTCAGTTTTAAATCTGTATTTTCTTCTATTATAAAACTTCTTTTTAATTAAAAATCTGTCAGAAATTCTACCAGCAGAGTTTAGCTTTTTAAATAATCTTAATCTCTTTGAACTTAACAGGTGGGGTGATAACATACTATTAGTTTTGTGTAGATCATGAATAAACTGGCAGGTTTCTGAATTCATCTTCAATTGAAGTTTTATTTATTAGTATTTTGGTTAACAAAAGTAAAAATATTTTAAAACATAAAAGGAAAAAAGGCCCTTTCTTTCCTAATAACAGGGTTTGTTATCTTTAGAACTTATTTTGCCTTTTAGATAAGGCAAAGTAAGGCCTGTCATTCACAGAAATCTCAGCACATACTGTAAATCACGAGTTAGTGGGGAGCAAGATGATGATCCACAACAAACATGAGGAGATTTTGCAAACAGAACAGATAAAGTTTAAAGGAACTCCCGATGAAAAATGTAGAAAAATGCCTTATTAACATATTTGTGTATTTTTGGGGGATTTTACCTGTTAGGGTTTAAAAAATAAAATTGCTGTGTCTTGCAGTTTTTTCACAGATTTGCTTCCTCATGGTCAATTTCGCGATTCAATCTGCTTTCATGTTTTCTTATCGATTGTTTCACCTCATTTTTTTCTGATTCCCACCGAATTACATTGTTGTGTAATTTAGGGGTGTCATTTTTTTCTTCTTTTTGTAAGACCAGATGGGGTCACTTATTTCACAAGACTACCATACTTGACAGGGTGCAGATCTGACAAGTAATTAGGAATCTAAGAACATTTTGTTCAAGAAAAATTAGGTTTTTCATGCTCGGGGGTTCGTCCCTGACTGGGGATTGGTGGCCTAGTCGTTAGAGCATTGTGTTTGGGACCCGGAAATTCTGGGTTAAACTCCCACAGACACTCTGGGTCCCTGAGCAAATACCCTTAAACCCACACTGCTTCCCAGGTGCCGCACAATGGCAGCCCACTGCTCCCCAAGGGGATGGGTTAAATGCAGGAAGCGAATTCAAACACAAATCAAAATTTCACAACAAACAGTTCAATACAATGGCAGCTTTAACACTGAAAGTTAGATCAGGAGATTTGTTTTATGTTATAAATTAACTTTAGAGCAATGATTTACTTAAAAAAAAGAATAAAAAGGAACAGATCGGATAAAGCTACTATGAATAAAATAAGCAGCAAGAACATGAAGTTAAAAAATACTACCAATAACACAAAATAATGAAAAGTGGTCCTTATGTCCTCCAGCAGCGTAAGCCTCTAGCAGTATTACTATAGAGATAACTCAGGATAACCACCACCACTTTAAGCTTTATCAAAAAGTTTTAAGCCTCTACTTTATTGGAAAATGTGCAAATGTGATGAAATATGGAGAAGATATCCTGCAAACATTCAAAATGTATTTAAAGGTTAATGTGTGAACATATATTTGCTTTGAGGAAAAAACAAAAAAAAATAGTTGCATTTAAAAACAGCTAATTAAAAAAATTATTTATCAGCTGTAAGTACAGTGGGGAGGCCATCATGCTTTGGGCCTTGTTTGAAATTGGATTGGGAGATACTAGTAGCTTCTAGCATGAATTAACTTTTCTTATTTTTATTATTTTTGTCTTTTTTCAGAATGTCAACGTCAGCAGAAAACCAGAGGAAGCCCTTCAGACTGTCCCTGATCACAACTAAAGATTTGGGGATGAAAACTGACTACAGCTTTGCTGGGCTGTTGCTGGATTTTGAAGCATTACTACGAATATGTCTCACTAAATCTGAGAGCTCAAACATGTATATTGAATATGTTAATATGGAATGAAATGTGCTGCCATTGCAGTAACTAACAAAGGCAACACCTTTAGCTGTGAATTTTCTTCTGTATTACCTGTTTGGATAAGATTCTTCTGCCTAATGATACATATTTAGAGTTACAGACAGTTAGAAATCAGCACCAAGGACAGCACCAAAATAAAGAAGACGTGTTGTTTTAAACTTTTCTCTGATTAAATAATAAAAGTCAGATTGGTTCTTAAGAAGGCAGTTTTCTTTTATTATTTTTTCAAACAAAGAACACATTTTGTAAATCAAATATTGAAAAAATACTATCTGGAGATGAAACTTGGAAAAACTTTGTATTTAACAAAAGAAGTTAAGAGAAACTTTGTTATTTTCTCAGATTAGATTTTTTCACATTAACATTTTTGTCATTTTTATAGTTTTTTATTTTTCGATCATTTTTTTGCATCTGTTTATTATTATTTTTTATTTATCTTTACAGGTTTTCTATTTAGATATTTTTAGTTAGCTTTTTTAGTTTTCTACTTTTTTTTTCAAAAAGCATTTTTTTCAGATCACATTGTCCTTATTTTTAGGGCTTAGGGGAGAATGAATGAAGCATTTCTATTGGTCAGCATGGAGATAGCAACGTTTTTATTGGTCAGCATTCATGTCAACAGCGAGTGTTTATATCGGTCTCAAAGAAACAACAATGAAATGTGTAAAACTCTGAAAAGAAAAAAAATGAAGTAAAACGTTAAATTTGAAAAAACAGCAAAGTAACCATAAGATGATTGAAAAGAAGTAGAAGAAATTGTTAGTTTTTTAAAATTCTTCCTCTTTTCTCGGCTTAATAATCTAGCTGTTAACTTACTAAGAAACTTGTTCCTTTTTGTTTTTTGATCAAATTCAAAAAGCAGAAAGTCCAGTGCTTTAGGTGGAAAAAAACTAAATGCTGGCATTTCCCTTAATGCCATACAAATATGCGACAGAAACATGGGTAACATTTTACAATATGTATCTATAGATCAATTGTTTTATTGTACAGAAATAAAGAAAAAAAAAACAATAAAGCCAATTCTGACTCAAATCTAGATGAGTCAAATACGGTATCATGAAGCCACTTGTTAACCTAGAGCATCATGGTGTTAATATGGAAATAAAATATAACATAAAATATTTTTAAAAAGAAAGCAAACATGAAGTCATAACTACTATTTAAGATTCAATTAAGCTCATTACAGTTTCCTTTTGTGAAGTACATTTCTTTATTAGTATCAGGCCTTTACTGAGACTTTAGCCATATTATTTTAGCCAGCACTAGCGCTCCCCCTAGTGTTATAAATTGTGCCTAGGGCACCAAGTATTGGGGGAAGCACCCAAAAATCTGCTTTTATAAAAAAAAAAAATTGAAATTAAAATAACATAACATTAAAAAAAAGTTTATTGCATATTATTTGATATAAGTAATGTAAAAATATATCCTCAATAAAAAGAGCTGCTTGCAGTCTCTACTAATAATGTATTATTGTTAACTTCCAGGTGGGGGACACCCCACTGGTTGTCATTCAGCTCTCCTCCATTTCATTTAACTTCTTTTAGAGTTGCTTATACATCACAGCCATGATCATTCAACTCCTCTCCACTTCCTCTGAAAACCTAGAGCAACGTGAATACATAGAAACCATTGTGTACCAAAACCATTTTTTGTTTGTTTTTTGACACTATCTTTTAATCAAAAAACAGCCTATAAACTATTGAGAGGTTGGGGGAACAGAGGACAAGTGGTGGTGGAGACGGGGTGTCCTGGTGTGTGCTACACTTTTTTAGCAAAGTAGCGGTATGCTGAAGAGTCACATTTAGTGATGGAACCACTTAAAGCACTGGTAATGTCCATAGGAATTCAGAATAACACAGAAGCCATCATATAAAGAAGTGCTTAATGGAAACAATAAAATTCAAATCAACTTGCACTTGAGGCTTTTTTAGGAGTAAATGCACTACATAAGAGATGGAAACACATCCTTGAATACTTTTTGACGTAGCAAATATTTAGCTTTATACTTAGCAATCCTGAACCAATGATTAGCTAGACTAAAAGCTGGGTGCAAATATTACCTGGTCCAACAGAGAACAATGCACCACAGTGTTGTTTAACATTTTTTTGGAGTATGTCTCTTTCATTATTTTATTATAAAGCTACATTTAATTCTTAACACTGTCCCAAAAGCTGTCCTAAAATCCTAAACCAATTCTGCTTTATTGGTGGCAAAGTGTAGTGAAATAACTTCTGCTCATCAGGGACAGGTTCTCTCAACCTGTCTTTATCCAAGCTGGACTTCTTTCCTCCAGGTCCCTGAGTGAAGCTCTAGTATCAGCTCACGCAGTCCACTGGATCTCTCCATGCAGCTCAAGCACACCGTCCCGCCAACCAGCAGTCTATTACCCCGTTTACACTACCCTTAAAAAACTGAGCCGAGACCGGTCCGAGCTCAGTAACTGAGATGACTTGTTGTGTGTGAACGGAAACAACCTGAACTGAACCGAGATAGACATAACCGGACCGCGCTAACTGCAGACCAGTTCCCGAGGTGGGTTCGGCTCGGTTTTTTCCTGGCT